CTGAGTATACATGTATACGTTGGGTAAGGACAAAACCAGTAATCAGAATTAAAGAAAGACTATCTGATGGGACTTTGGAGTTGTAACACAATTGGATCCTGTTTGTTCACATTTGTCCTAGTTTCCAACATTTCTGATGTGGAAATGCAGCAGCACTTTGACGACTTCTTTGAAGAAGTTTTCACAGAGCTGGAAGAGAAGTACGGGGAGATTGAAGAGATGAATGTGTGCGATAACCTAGGTGATCATCTGGTGGGCAACGTCTATGTCAAGGTGAGTTTACTGCGAGTGTGAGTATGTGTATGTCAAGGTGAGTTACTTGAGTATGAGTATGCCAAGGTAAGCTACCTTGAGTGTACATGTGTGTCAGGGTGAGTTACTTGAGTGCAAGTACATGTATATCAAGGTAAGATATATCAGTACATGTACTTGAGTGTGAGTACCATGCCAAGGTACATGTAAGCTACCTTGAGTGTATGTCAAGGTGAATACGTTCAGACTAAGTTGGTGCGATTTGGACTCCCAAGAATCAGTAGATTAGCAAATGTTACGCCAAAGATAACAATCTCCCCCTGCAGCAACAAACCATAAGATAACGTGTGGATAAAACTGGCCTCATTTCTGTGCGTAGTTTATTCATTTTGACCTTATGCGTAGGCTACCTGCAAATCTTTTGCGCGCATGCAGTGTACTCGCTGGAGACACATACATGTACATGTACTCATCACTTATACTGAACTGACTAAAAATACCAATAAATGATTCAGGTTTTTTAGTCATCTCTGAAATTATTTTTTTAACTTACACAATGAATCAAATACCATGCGAAATAAGTTACGTTTATGTCCGCATAATAGACAAGGTATCCGCAGGAGATGCAACCTCGTTGTGTATACCCGCCTTGTTTCTAAATCACAGTTCCTGATATGAAACCCTTTTTGTCAGGATACACGTAACTACACATGTGCTTGTTGCTTCATTTTGGTTTGGTATGCTTGATGGTACCAGCAGAGCTTTCTTGTCTGAACGAGGCATGTTTTAGATTATGCACTCACAGGTTTTTTTCTGAACTCTGCCCAAAGTCAATTAAATTGGGATCAATTTTTTCCATGTCTGAATGTACCCTGACTTGGGGTTTGAATACGTCAAGTGGAGTCTCCTTTTAGTATCAATTAGTACATCAGTCCGAGTTACCTTGTGTATGTACTGAAAGATCCAAGACATCATTATGTGTGAAACCATTGGTGAACATCTGATGGTTTATGTGTGTGTCAAAGAGTTTCGTAAACCCTATAAGAGCTGGGGGGTTTAGAGTCAATTCTCACTCGACATTTTTTCTGATATCGATGCAGTGTATTATCTTCAGGAGTTGAGCCTTTAGGAGTTTTAAGAGTAACTCTTTGTGGTCATTTTGAAATTAATTGTTCAAAAATCGAGCATGCTGTTCTCACACAGCGTGCATTTATTAAGACAGGTCAGCCCAAAATGTGTATTTTTTCCACTGCAGTGCTCAGTGCACCCAGGCTAGCATGCATGTCGCGTTGAACTTCAAATGACCATAAAAACAAAACCATTTGCCTGATTCACACTTGTAATGATAAGGAGGGTCTTTACACGTACACGTAGCATGCCAAGATTCTAAGAAACAAGAGCGGCACAGCTGAGTTCTTGGGGATCCCTTCCCCCCCAGCTACTGTGAGATGGGATTGAGCATCATGCGCACACACTGAGGAGGAACGTGCCATGGTGAGCTAGAATGAGGATGGAGGGATTTGAGAGAGAAATGTATTGCAGAGGTTAACATTACATGTAACTACAATCCCTTGGTGGCCATATGGCCAGTGAGGAAGTGCACCGCACAGGCCCTCGTGAAAATTTGGTGGCCCAGGTTGAGTACACGTAATGAAATTGATCAGGCCCGGTGACCGCACATGTCCATTTGCGTCAGTGGAACTTCTCTACCAAAACAGATGATTGGTCAGCCTGGCTGGATTTAAATGCACTTTTTGAGGCCAAAAAAACTAGTTCTGCTTCTGGTTATTGGACTGATCATAAATTTTTGGCGCGACCATAAAATTTATATCAGTATTACAGAAAAACACATTTAAAAATTTAAAAAAACAAACAAAAAAAATCCTCTCTGTCTTTCCTGTCTTCACAAAACACCTCTCAACAATTTTTCACTTGAAAAAACTTGTAATTTTTGTTTTCCTGCTTACATTCACAACATTTGGAAAGTTCGTTCTGTTGTGTCACAAGTTCCTTTCTCATTTTGCTGTCATGGAGGTGAAAACACACAAGCAGTTTTGCTTGATGCAAAGAAACAAGGCTTCACTGGTTCCCACTGCGTCGCGCCACTGAAAAAGAAGGCTTGATGGTAACGTGGCAACCATTCCATGCATCCCGGTCAAAATACACCGTGTAATGTTCACCATGTTCGCCACACATGTACTCACAGGCAACTTTACAGCATCCCATTGAAAAAACATGATACCTCAGGAAGAATTTTACAACGTAATTCCCAAAACTTGATTTGTTGTCTCTATATGTATTTTTTGTGTTCACAAACTTACGGTAATTCGAGGTTATATTGCTTGTTTGTGACGATCGCCCCGATGCAGACTCAACGCGACATGACCTGCAAAGGTTTCATTGGTGTCCATGGGAGATAACGTTAAACTGGCATTGTTAGAAAATGATACCAGCCAACATATCAGTACTCAGGTCAGGCTGTATGCGCGACTGTGCAATGAACAGAAAGGTATGCCGCAGGCTACATGTGTACATATATGTGGCACACAAGCCTGGCGCATTGTAGCAGGCAATCGCAGCCACGCGGACTGTAGAATTATACCATGAACTCAGAAGTTCTGTGCTGATGATCTGAAAGACGAGTCGTAAAATGTGATTAAAGTTTTGAAAATGTGACAATGTACCTCAAATGACCACTGTCCCACTGGGTCATCATTTTTGGAGAATGCAGTGGCCCGATGAATGTTTTGGTGGCCCCGGTCCAGCGGACCACTGTTAATTTCGACCCCTGTGTTGGATAACCGTGGTGTCAATCTGTCAGTCAACTCATGTGTCAAGGTTACACAGTATGAAGTAGTTACAAACGTATTCAGGGTGTGGCATTAGGCATTTGTGCCATGGCATAGAGGCCTGATGAGCAGCGGTAACTACCATGTGAAATAGTGTGGTCTTGCCTGAGCTATCTATGAATATTCATGAATCCCCCATAACCACCCTACACCGTCCATTTTGCAGTATCGGCGCGAGGAGGATGCAGAAGCCGCTGTGAATGATCTCAACAATCGATGGTTTAATGGTCAGCCAATCAGAGCAGAGCTGTCCCCGGTGACGGACTTCCGTGAGGCCTGCTGTCGTCAGTATGAGATGGGGTAAGAATACAAACAGGCAACTGTGCTCTGTCCTTTCAGCTGAAATCTGTGCAGTAAACATAATCCTGTCATCCCATCACCTGTAATACGGGCGATTCTCAATACAGCACGCCACCAAGAGTTTGCCACAGACAGGCCACTTTTCAAGGCTAGGGTCGACATGCTGCCACGAGTAAGTGCACTGTGTACATAATTTGGGGATATTTGATTGATTGAGGCATTCCCCGCACCACACAAAACAACCATTTTGGCTACCTAACACCCATTGGCAATAGGCAGTTTTGAATTATCAACCAGGATAAACATTCCGCAAAATTCAAATTTTCTGCGCATGGCGCAGTTAGTGAATGAGAGTTTGTTGACTATTTATCCCATAATGCACTGCAAAAAGACCTTTCCATGACAAGCTCTTGGTGGCGCACTGCATTGTGCCTGTACTGCAGAGTGCATTTGTCAATGGAAATTCTAATTCACATGACATGAATGCATCTGAATTGCATTTGAGGTCCAGCAATCAAGTCCATCCAATATCACATTGTCTCAAGACCAGTCACAAGCTATAGACATGAACTGTGACAAGGAACACGTATTCGTTTGTCACTATACCACCAGTAACTCAAGATTGGACTTCTCATCGACCTCTCTACAAGACAGATGTTGCATATAGGATGTCAGTGTGCGCTAGACTGTTGACTAGATGCACGTCAAAATGGTGGTGATTTCTGATAAAAATTTCTTTTGAAACTGCAGTTTTTATATCCGGATTTCATGCCATGTCATGGTTTGGAATATTTGTGCTTCCTTTGGATGGACAGGAGGCCAGTCTACTGTAGATTTCTCAGATGTTCATCATGTTCATGATGTAATCATTTACACCTGAAGATGGTGAGAGGCAGGGTTGTAGTTAAGTCCATCATAAGTCCCTTCACAAGTCTAGCATGTCTAGTCACAAGTCCCTTCACCAGGCCAGTCAGAAGTAACGGTGCACATGACAAAGGAATGCTTTGGTCACAGCTCATTTGAATAGCTTGTGAATTTGCTTAAGACCGGATGACTTATGATGGACTTGTGATGGACTTACAGGGACTTGTGATGGACTCCAATACAACTCTGGTGGTAGGCAAGTGAGGTAAAGTGGCTTGCCCAAGAACATGGCATGTAGCAAACAGCTGCGTGTAGATTTTTAAAGCGTTAAACACCCGTATGAGTGGATATATGCAGTTTGTAAAATACCTGTTATTGTTACGCTGTGACCATGAGTCGCAGACTGCTGTGTTCTGTCTTTGGGAGAGTGTGGCGCTGATCGACTTCTCTTGAAATTTTCAGGGAGTGCACCCGCGGCGGCTTCTGCAACTTCATGCACCTGAAGCCCATCTCCCGCGAGCTTCGACGGGAACTCTACGGCCGGCGCAAGCGAAGCCGGCGCTCCCGTTCCCGCTCACGTAGCCGAGAAAAAAGAGGGCGTTCTCGTTCCCGGAGCCGAGAACGCCCTCGTCGACGCGATAGGTCCAGGGATCGGGAACGCTCAGGCCGTTTCTAGGCGTCCCCCCCACCAGTGCATGTTGATCCATAGGAGTCCACCCCTTTCGAAGTAGGCCTACTTTGAAGTATGAGGAACTTTGTAGTAGGGCTCATATTGAATCCACTACTCAACGCTGGCTTTTATTATTAAGCCTCATGCTGTTGGATACAAGGACATTCCTTGGTTACTTTTGTATCCACAGTCTTGTAGGAAATTTCCTAGTGACAGTATTTACGATGACCACTGATCTGTGACATAATTGCTTACACCACAAACTGACACGTGATACTTGAGTGTGCTCCGTTTGCATAAAATTTTCAAATCCACATAAGTGTGCTCTGGCACAGTCTTAAAATCTGTCGTTAAACACTAAAAGCTCCGGTGTATGTAAGCTTTCAACCACGATTGTGTTTGTAAAGCACTCGGCCACAGCATCTGGCTGTAAGTGCCATCTTTAGTCGCTGGACCTTACCTCGATATACTCTGTTGTCATAGTGAATTATTGTAGGTTGACTCGGTTTTGCTAATGTTCAGTTCCTGCTGCATTGACTTGGCAGGTGTGTTGGTATGTAAATAGCATTCAACCTTAAAAGTCCACATATAGTAGCATCCCCTTAATTTGCTGAAATGAAAATTTACCCATTATCACTTTGGCTCCGCTCTTCCACACAATTATACACCACTGCAAAATGCAGACAAAAAGCTGTCTTGTATATAATCTTGTCTTGTAGAAGTTAAACATGTAGTTAGCATTTTGTTTTGGCTTACCTAATGTACTCGTGAGAGCAACCAACTTTGTTTCTATGATTTGCTCTGCTTGGAGCGTTTCCTTTGATATGATGTAAAAGTACTCGCAGGAAAACTTCAACATTAATTTTTGTTTGAATTTGTTTGGGGGGTGGGGAATTTATTGAGAATACACAAAGTGGCGAAGTTTACATTTGTTAATTAATGGGATTGTTTTGATTTGTCGCTTTAAAAAAAGTCCTTTCATGGTTTTTGTTTTAAGTTAGACTTGCTGTATGCATTAATACCGTTTTTGAAGTAGACCAAAATAAAAGCTGTTTGTGAAAATTCGAGGAAAAATACTGTTTGTTAAAAAAGATCCTTAATCGGTTGTGGGAATACAGTCGAACCTCGTTAATAAGAGGTCCTTGGGACTTGGCAAATTACCTTGTAACAGGAACCTTGTATTATCAGGAATAAAAACAATGAAAGACAAAGGATTGGGATCTAACATTTCCTTGTTATAAGCAGGATCTTGTATTTACTGCGCTCTTATTAACGAGGTTCGACCATATTGTGATGAGTGATGAGTTGTCTCTGTATTGGTCAGGAAAACAATTTTTGACTGCGCTTGATTAAATTGCGTTCAGGGTGCGCAATGCGAGAGATTAAAGAATAATACATGTATGTTTCTGACGTCAACAAGGTCCTTATGAATAACTAATTTCCAGCCATGCATTCATTTTGCGTTGGCCGACGGCAAAAGCCAGTGAATGGGCTGCGTCATATGAAAACACAAACACGATTCTTGCGTACACAATTAAGTATGCAAATACTTGTACCTTTATTTGCTCTGCGTTGGTCCCTCACTGACGTTTTTAGCGAAGAGATCCAATGGCAAATCCCCATTCTTGGACTTTTTTTCCCTTTGGTGATCATCATCCAAGACTTCAATATGTATACATGTACTATACACTGACAAACTATCAGAAAAAAATCCATACATTGAGTGTTTTGGAAACCCTTGTTGTTTTGGACTAGTTCCAAAATCTTATTAATGGAGCTTGTCATCTGTCTCATCGTCTCTCTTACTCTTACTAGCATTAAAAAAAGACCAATCTACGATTGACACAGCATTCGTAAAATAGTCACATGAACAGAATTTAATGGATTTCCGATTCACATGCGATTTGTACATATAGGAATAACAACTGTCTCGAGCAAACGCACCGCCTCATTTTGTTGAAAACCACCCCGCGGTGTTCATTGTGTTGGCAGTGATGCGACCGTATAACGCGTGCATTTCCTAAGTCACTCATGAACCAGCAAAGTGCAGTTCGGCCCAAAGGAGGCCCGCTGCTGAGAAAATTGCGCCCTCTGTGGGTTCTGCTCGAGGCTCGTACGAGCGTAAATGATCGATAAGGAATTGAGAATAAAGGTTCGGATCTCCCTCCAGCTCTCTGGATTCCTTTTTCAACTTTCCTAATTTTTGGTTTGCTTGTTTTATTCTCTGCGTTGGCTTTTTTACCCTTTCAGTGAGGCCTGTTTTTCCCTTATCCATATCGTGCTATCTGTGTTCGCCACATGAAATCCAATTTGCAAACCGCCAAAGAGCGGGGCCGGCTCGTTTCGGAATAAATTGAACGGACTTTGGGCCGCTCGGTATAGAGCGCATCACCGACTTGTCGCACTGTGCAAAGGACGGGCGACACTTCCCTAAATTGACTCCGCGAATCTAATAACACCGAGCCATACGCTCATTCGCCGCAGACCCCGTGGGGAAACAGACCTGGGGAACGAGCGCTGCGCATGTGGTGTCGGTAACCTGAGGGTGGACGGACAGCAAACAGACAACTCGTGAACGAATAGCGTTTTCACCTCGCTGACCGGTCAATCTCAGAGTATCGGAATGCTTTCAAATCTGCCCAGTGCCTGCCAAACTCTTCTTGTTGAATGAGAAGACAGTCGACTGGTGATGTCATTGTGACGCACCCCAGCAGTGCCAGTATTCCGTGACCAGGCCATCGCAGTGGATTGAGAAAGGGGTTGAATTTGCAGAGTATGCGCTAGATAAACGCACTTTGAACTCAAGTCGCTGTCTTCAACCGTGGCCGTAAAGTGCTGTTTATTTATTTTGCCATATTCCGTGTGATGTACATCCGTACATGTAGAACCGTCATCAAGTGATGATGTCGAAGTTTCATCTGTAAAGCATAGAAGTGGTAAGGCTTTTCCTCTGTTTTCATATTTCTGCACATTGTGTATGCAAACGCTTATTAATTTTCTAATTTTAACAATTTTGTAACATTGCTACCTGGAAGGCTTTTTCATAAATATTGCAGGTTTTCAAAGATTGAAAAAAAGAACTAAAATTTACTTTTTTCCTATTTTCTTACAGCCGCGGTAGGAGTGAAATATTACGGATAAAACGTATTTGGAATTTGTCTTTGGTATAATTATGATTCCTTGGCATGTTTGTCATACTTTGTGGATTTTCTTTGTGTATTAAAATCTGTCATTTCCTTCTTTCAAGATTAAACTTGAACTCATTGAGACTTGCCTCGGATTCTTTGATAGTTGAGAAGGGGATCATTATCAGTGGAAGGAAAGGTCATTTCGTAATTGTTCATTTATTTCTGAAACCTAACCCTTCACTGCAAAAACTGTAGTGTTAAAATAAACACTTTTTGGTGTATCGGATGACCACACCATAGGGTGCTAATTTAACACTGCTGGCGTTACTTTGAAATGTTACAGTGCACTGGGGGTGTTAGAAGTAAACACCAAATAACACCAAAATGTTAACACAAGTGCAAAGTGTTGTGCAGTCCCCTGATAACACCGGGGGTGTTAAATTTAACACCCCAGCATATTTGTTAGCCCATGGTTATAATCCATGGTTACATACGTCAGCTTTTAACTTTGTAAACATTATCCATGCCCATTATTCCTCAAATGTACGCCAAAGATTGGCAAACCGGATTAAAGTTCGACGTTGCACTCTCAACCCAGGTAACTAATTACATAATGCTTGGACGGTGCGCCATCATGGGTGGAAGGCTGTTATTCTCGAGTGATATGCATGAGTAGACGCTCTATCTGTCCTTTCTTTGTCGCTGAATTTACATAGAACTGCCTCCATGATATGGCAATGTGCAAGTGCTCTCTGTACACACTCACCAACGGGCAAAAATTATCACGTGTTTGAAATAATGTGAAGTGATTTTGGCAACAATTATTTGAATCTTGAGTTGTATGTCGCGGATTCAATCCCAAGAAAATTTTTTGTCAACGATTGGTAAATTGGCAAAATGCACGAAGTGCTGGTATTGAGGAAAAAAAGGCATTGCAATACCAGCGTACCCATTCACCGTTTCGCCCAAACGGTACCGTGAAAAGGGTGCTTTCTTTGTTTCCCCGTAAAAGAACCTTTTTTGCCAGTCTTCGACACGGGTACGATATGCATGTGAAACTGATTCTCCTTTACCATTCGATTAATAACTCTGGAGGGTTGTTTTGAAATAATGTCCGAAAGTCAGCCCGTATATACGCAGCTGACTCAAAAAATCGCATGGTAACAGAAAAAAAGATTTGCACCGTCTTGAAAGGAATATGGCGCTAAATCGCGGACTACAAGTACCTTGAATGTGGCTTCTGGCGACGATCCAGATTTTAGAAAATGCGCACTTCTCTGCATGTCCCTGCACCATTACAGCAGACAAGGATTTCATTTCTACCCTCAAACCATGGCAACAACTTAGTACTACAGGCTGGTCCTTTGTCACTGATCAGTTTTAAACTCATTTTAGTAAGAGAGAACGGCTAAGGAACGAGACGACCTGGAAATGTGGGAAATTATTGACAGACTGGTACTGTTATTGCGGTCACTCCAATTTGATTTGAAAACCCAGATTTTTGTACCGACAAACATTTTATGTTCTGAAGTATTGACATTCAACGCAAGGTGGAAAAAGGTTTGCTCTAATATTCGAAAGTGTTTCTTGTGTTAGTGATAAAAACATACTTTTCCAATACGCGTGCATTGTACATGACTGCAGCTTCCTGGTTAATTCCCAGAAAGCTTTGTGATTTTAAAGACATGCAGTGACATCAAACCCTGGAGCTCGAGGAGTTGTTTCGATTCTGCATTTCATTTCTCCGGCACATGTGAGGGAGTAACTCCTCCCTCAACGTCAAATAAAATTGAAAAAAGGGAGAAAGAAACAAAATCTGAAACAGCGATGTGCGGTTTAACACCTTCTATGTAATCAGAGACCTACACTAGTCCCTGGACAACATCCTAGGTGTTACAATAACACCACGGTTTTTGCAATGAAGACTCGTCCGTAACAGACCGACGTTTCTACGGTTCTGCCCCTGTGATCAAAGTGGCTGTCATTTATCAGCATCAAACCATTATTTTTCCCAATTAAAACTAATATGAGACTCCAGCACTCTTGCTATTGGAACTGTTCGTCTCTTCGGATCAACACCAACGGCGCTCGCCTCCTCTCTGTATAACCAGCACTTTTTCATGCTTTACCTGCAAATCTGCGTTACATTCCAAGAAACCCGGATCTGAGCGAAACTGTTACAACGATCCTGCGTTTTATAAGGGATCAGGGGATATTGAAAATCTCCGTAAGATCGCGTTTTTACCATCAACAAAACCAATACAGCAGCGGAGCTCATTATGAAGAATACATATTGTTTTGCTCAAGTAAAAATAAAATTTAAATTGATTTGTGAAACACAGAAGGGTACGCAGTCACTAAGAGTCGGTACAAAAAAGTAAAAGTGTGCAAAAATGATATTAAATGTGTCATTTCCATTAAGAAGGATCTGCATTCAAATCAATATCTCCTCACAATAGGCTTATTTGATAAAAAGCAGTTTCACACACTAGTGTCCTGAGGGTTGCCAATGCACACCACTTAGTAGCGTCGATAAAAGTCACTCACATTGTTCCGTTAAAATGGTCATGCTTTACCACCTCTTACGCGGGCTGCAATCTCGCCTCCATGGACGAGTGTCTAATAGACATGTAACTGGAATCGGTGCGGAGGTAGAGTGCTATTCAGCCCATACAGTCGAACGGACGAAGAACAGTTTCCATGCTGAGCCTTTATAGTTGTCTAAAAGGAATGAATTTTAGCCACGAGTATCGCTCAGTGGACACTCACAGAATGTCACCCAGCATGAGAGACACTGTCGCACAAATTACATGAGTTAAGGAAACACATCTGTGATGTACTTTCTAAAAATAAAAAAGTAAAACGTAAATCAAACACCGTAATCACCTTCTGTTTTCTTTAGACAGGCATGCAACGTCTCGTTGCATCCAATTTCCTCATTTTAACTTCACACTCATGCCATTGAAAATTGAAATAAAACATCTTACAAAGTCTTGTAAAGATTGGAATTTCCTCGATTTTTGTCAATGTCCAGTTGCATGCCTGTTTTGAAAATTAAAACGATATTACTCAAAGTAGGTTTATATAGGTGGCCTTAAGTAATCGTTTTGTGGGGTCTGGTTGCAAACTATGACCCGCCGTTTGGGAAAACAGGGCGTAGGGATTGCAGAATTAGGGGTAAATAGTGAACGTTTTAAGCACTGTATCCACAAATGTCTGGTTTCATGAATTACTGGGAAAAGATTAAAATGATGGATTACTGGCCCAAATTTGAGTTTGGGGAATATTGAGAACATCGTCAATGCTGATTTTTAAATTCTCTGTTTTTTAGGGAGCCGGGGGGATTTTTTTTAACTAAAGACCTCTGGAAAATGTTCCTGAATCCCCGCCGCCCATCACAAAGCCAAACAAATCACGGAAGAAGAAATAGATACCCCAAGGGCGGTACTACCGGACCGAGGAACATGAACAATACACATACATTAACTCTAATAGTCCCGAATACTCCGATTTCAATTTGATTTTACATAGTTACACCCTCGGGGGTTTGAGTTAAAATATTTGCATATAGAATACTGTGCCAGAATGCTACACGTATGTTTCCTAGTAGTATACTGTAGAACCAAACTAGCCTATTACTACGTGTACAAAACCCAGAGAGGAGAAAAAAAATCACAAAGTGTTTTAAAGTACCACTCTGCAATTGAAACACCACACTGTCAACACTGCTGCATACTTTGGTTAAAAATCCAACACCTTTCTCTCAGTGAAGTCACCAGTGGACATAAGATACACATGGATTTAATTGGGTTTAAAAAGTAAAACTTATATCAGCCCTGGACGAACTTCATTCAGACGTGAAGTCCATGTACGATATGGTAGGCCATGTTTGCCACGAAGAAACAAAAGGCTTAAGGGTTGGAAATTTCAAAATAATTATATTTTTCATATACTTTGAAAAAAATTGAATAAAGGCGATTTGGGTGATATTTCATTTTCCTCTACTTCCAAAACCGAGTAAAACGCTCTGACATTAGCGTCAACAAACAAAAAGGCCATAAAATGTAAAGTAAAACCATTACAAAATTGTACATCCCTTCCTAAAAGTAGTCCGCCCAGTTTGGTTAATGACGCCCAGTGGTTTTTACAATGAACTATAGGAGGGTAAAATAGAAGTTCTGAATAGAAATACACGGCGTAATTGAACAGTGCACCTTTGTAGAGCATCGATAGTGCAGAATTAAAACCTTGGCAAAGCGCTCGTGGTTAGGTGGTACGCGCGCGTTACATGCCTCTTCGACCAATAGGATGTCTTGATTTGCTAAATTCACGCGCGCGCCAAGCTGAAGAATATGCGCGGAGTGCGGTGCCAGCGCAGTTAATGCGTCTAATCGGATTAGTTCAATGTATATAGCCTCCCGGACTCTGCGGTGAAACAGCAGGGAAGTTAAAACGACCGATATGGATACTGCAGAGTCTGAACTGAACAACCTCGATGTTTGCAGTTGGGCATGTGGCCCGATCGACCTGCCCCTAAATATAGACATTAACTTTCATGAAAAATCCCCAAACTGGTGAAGCGGCACGTAGGGCACAGTTTCAGCACCGCGTGCCGCCGTTACCCGCCGTCGCCAATCGAAAGGAAGTCACGATGTCGGTGATGAAACGGTTTTTTCCAGTGCCCCGTACTTATTAAAGGCTGTCATTTATCATCTAAGAGTCGGCGCTAATGCAAAAACCCTTGAATACATCACTAAACGGACGATAGCGGTCCCAGTATCTTAAGTATGCGTCTCTTTTCTATTTACGGTATCTTACATTGATATCGTGTGAACATGATTACTCTTTCCTGGCTGCAATTAAGCCCGGCAGAGAGCCATTCGTAAATGCAGGTCGTGGCTGGCAAAGATTTCAATTCTGTATTTGCATTTACATATCGATGTAATATTTACTTCGGAACAGTTTCTGTACTGTTTCCAACCAATGTGATTTAGTACTTACAAAAAAGGCGCTGAATTCCAAAACTCAAAATCGTGTTTTAAAGAGGAAAGCTGAGCTGGACTTTTTTATTCCGGATTTCAAACCTGCAAAATGTGAAACTTGAGAATTTTTCATGTCGTTTTATATTGTGATGGTTTCTAGTTAAGTCTGGAACTTGACACTGTGTAAATGGGAAAGCTGGTTTGTTAAGAATTGCATGACGAAAATTACTAAACTTGCCCAAGGTTTGGGCAAACATTATGTGGAATTAGTTTTATTGTCTTAGATACCGCATACAGACACCCAAAGAAATCCGTTTTACATCTGTTAATTACCTTTCGACTAGCAGAGTATGAACGAAATACAAATACTGAATTCATGCATTCTGATTGGTCTGGTACTAGCCTCACAAGGCCCAACGAGATGGCGCAGTAGACAAGGCCGGATCCAGACCCGGGGGGCAAAACAAGTGAGCAGCGCCCTGTTTGCACGTTTGCATTAACTGATTAAACCAGTCACACAAGCAGCTATTCAGGAAAAATTCTACAGAGGATTTGTCTGTCCATAGAAAACAACCTCCATGTAAGACACTCTGATGGATTAAAACATCATTGTAAAAAGGGAAAGGATTATCAAAGGACCTATCCACCTTGTGAGCCAGGAATGTGATTTGCTCAGCAAAGTTAAACGTTTAATCACTCACATCATCAGGATATCGGCACCTCAGACGAAGCATTCAAAGCATTGAACTCAATCATGTTCTGATAGCTCCATATGAACAGAAAAAGGACGAACAGTGCCTCCCCTGTACAATAATTGTTGCTTGATGAACAAACCATGAATACACTTGTCGACTTTGATGAATTGGCTTTCGGTATAATTATTATTTTGAATAGTTTCAATTATTTACATGTCCTTGCTACAGGACAGGCGACCTTGGACATCGAAGGATAGTTGCCTGCAGGGTAAAGACCAGTAAATAAGCTGCTATAGACAACAGTGACAAATATCCTCACTTTAAAAAATCAGGAAAATTATATGTTTCACAAGTGTTCAAGACACGTCAAATTAAAGCTCATTTTCTCATCTTTCATTGTCCTTACCGATGACTTTGAAGATATTTCTCTCCAGAGAAAATCATCCCTCAAAACAGTCATGAGGCCCATCGCCATTTTGAAAATGGATGCCTACACTCCATTGCAAAGTATAGCCATTTAAAGGGCCCCGTTTCGTCCGATATTTTCAAAATAAGCTGGCAGTCCTGCCGCTGGATTTCCTCCACCTTGTTTAAAACAAATCACCCAGTCCACGTGCAATGAAAGGCTCTGACAGCAGAGAATTTGACAGCCTACTAATCGTGATTCGGTCCGCGCAGTCAATTTGGGACCTGTTTGCTGGCCTGCAACATACAAGGCCGGGGGCAACGTGGTCTGGTACTCACGCTTTCGTAACAGCGCTAGCCTCGCAGTAACAGTACACGCAGCTACATAAAATAACAAGGGAGACCCAAGATATCAGTTCTTTTTTTTAAAACTCAAATTCACCTTTTTTTCTAATTTGCTTTCGTTTTATTTTGATATTTGTTGAGGGCATGGATAGCTGTAGCAAGCGCTTGGATTGTTACTCTCGCGCTAATTTGAATATTCATAAGCGAAACACTGCCGTCGTTGGAAAAACACGGTAATTGCTTCTGTGTGAATGTGATGGAAGGCAAGTGGGTTATTAACTAGGAAACTACCATTGCCATTGCTTTCTCATTTAGTGTGGAGCTTAGTTTTAAAAAGTCGTGTATGGCACAGCGGAAACATTAGGCCTACTACGGAATATAGGGAGAATGCCCATGGTGGCATATGATGGCAATTAGTTAACATGGAAAAAAACAACTGGGTGGTACGTTTTCGACCTTTGAAAGGACACGTAGATGAGTATGCATGGCCGGAATAGTCCACTAATCGATGTCATTAAGGTATTAATCACTTGTTGTGCTTGCCAAGTAATTGTAGACCAGAACGCGAAGCCTAAGTGGTCCGCATTCAGGGTCCAAACTCATTAGATATTATTACACGAAGGAAAGCTGGCGCACTGGAACACGGTGAGTGTTGCGACTTTGGAGTCTGTTTTGCGTAGATGTATTAGGTGCGCGCGCTGATCACACTTGTTTGTAAATTGGTCCATGGTCTGGAGTAGGAAGACGCAGATGTTCAGTTTTTGGCATGTCTTTTACTGGTATACCTACATGCACATTTTGAAGCATTTGGGAAGCTAATCCTAAGTGATGAAGGTTAACTACTTTTTTTAATACAAACCTCGCAAGTCTCCTTTATGTCTCCGTCAATCTCATTTTCAGTTTTTGTTTGATTATTTTAAAGGGAGATCTCCTTCCCTTTGGAGGTTTAAGCTCATGACAATATCTATATTCATGAGCAAAACAGGAAGAAACCACATTCGCTTGTGCACGAAAACAGTATGTTTTTGGTTTTGTATGTCCGTAGCAAATCAAACAATCGTCCCTTTCTCAGAAATGCTTTCAGTGAGTAAATTCTGGGTTCACAGTTTGAACAGAAAACCTATCCACTGAACCATGTCTTCCCTGGATTACATCAAGGCAACACCGCCCTTAGATGTCCAGGAAAGCATTAACAAATTTAAATATTTACAACATGCACTTTTGAATATATTTAACACAGATGACAAACACTTTTCATTCCTTTCCGAATAGTATAATATTGCCGACAAATTATGTCTAAAAAGAGTTCCTTGCAGGTAATTTTTAAGACAGCAAAACATTTTAATTAATAACGCCACCATGGCATCCCCTCTCTTTCAGAGAGTGGTTCCCATTTTCGAATTGTTTACATTTGTGTGTGTTATTTTCAGCCATCAGTAGGCAGTCAGTGGCAACTGAATTGTGAAAAAAGAAACTGAAACCTGAAACTCAGAGTATGGAGCCTCTTTTCAAATGTTGGCGACGAAACAATGCAATAAATTAGAATGTTGGTTAATTTAAATTGGCTTCAGCTCGAATCGGTAAGCGACACATAGGAAAGAATCAGTCAAGTTCCTCATCAATTTTAAAACAGCCTGGGGAATTAATCTAGACTGGCTACAATACTCACACTGACACGCTATTAAAAAAATACATGTTAAAAATATTGGTATCGCCTGGTAACCAGGCTGGTACCCACCTTAGAATGGCAATGGAAGCATAAGGATAGGTTACCATCCGCTTCTCGTAGATGTAAAGCGAGGAATGGTATTTGCAAACGAGTTAGCGCATGATGTTTGTCACCATGGCATACGATAACCTGACGTTTGCCTTGACCTTTGCGAATTTTACATGGTTTTACCACAGCGTAAAAAAATGAGTTTCGCTTGTTTTATTTTTCAGGTTTCCATTAAATATTGCTCTAAATTCGTACTGCACGAATTCTTCTATCGTTTTAATATACCGTGGCTACAGAACTGTTTACGCTTTTTCCAATGCAGTGCAGCAATTTACATGATAGCACCTTTCTAATATTCGAGGACTTGTGAAGAATACCAACAGCGTCATGCTGGGTTTAAATGAACTCTGCACGTTGAGAGTAATTGTATATTGTGTTTTTCTTTATGGAAACAGCATACCAGTAACATTTTGGGCTGTACCTTCCAAAAAATGCAGCGTTTACGAGCGGGCTGCGTTGACGATTAGAAGCCACGGTTCATAAATTTTTAGTTGTGGGCCTAGGGACTATCAAAGAACTTTAAGTACGTTTGATACATATGGCCATATCAATTCCGGCAGCTCAATACTATGTCTTATAAGCTGGGTTTTGTGAATAAAATTTAGTATTAGCGATGGGGTATTGTACTCTGCAAGCGTGCATTCCAATTGGAGGCTGTGTCCGAGCATGTTATACGTGTTAACAGGAGTGTAACCCTAATTTCACGAAGTCCTATTGCAGGCTGGATTATGAGACTATCCTTTCAATCATCAGGCTGGAAATCACTGTTTTGCGTTCGTATGATGTGATATGTACGGAAGGTCTGAGTTGCCATCAGGTTTATGTTGTCAAAAGTGAAGTACAGTATATTTTTGAAGTCCGTTTTATGGAATGCATTTTTCCCATGTTCATGTTTACGAAATATGTTTTTTATTCCCCAAACTTTGTAAACTTATTAAGTAAGTCCAGATTAAGGCTTTTATGTTGGAATCAATTTTTTTCTTTCTAAGTTTGTTTTTAAATAATGTTTGAAGTTCGTTTTTATGAGAGATAATAAAATAAAACGCAGAACTGCATATCTTTTGAATATATAGTTGATGGCATCACTGGGCTTTCGTTGATCTGCGGATTGTGCGCACGCATCATTTCCCCGCCTGCAGATGTCAGTATCGTGAGTGACACGTGCGATAGCAAAACGATGTACGAAAACCTTAATTCAGCAATCGTCTCACAGCAGGGGAGCGTACGTCAGCCATGGCCTTTTGGAGCTGTTCTTTTAATGAAAGAAGGTTTTGTGACTTAAAGTACAAATGCTAACCAATTTTTTTCAAGTTAACTCGAGGTATAGTTTTTAATTTACATCTAGGACACACTACAATGCATGTGGCCGTTGTTGGCGAATACCTGTAGAGTGTGGAACCGCTCATGGGGATGCACGTGTTTTACGCTGAAGACATTTTTATCCATGGCTTTGCTCGAAGATTGATCAGCGACAAGTGTTTCTCGAAAGGTTGACAAGACAATTCGCCTGCTGAATTTGGATTTTCCGACTATCGTGGAGTGTGTCATTGGCCTTTTATTTGGCGTGAGCTGGGTTGAAACGGACCTGGTGGATGAATTTATTGACTAAGCTGGCGTTGGCAGAATCAGTGACAAGAAAGATCAGTGCTACTCAGTGGAGATGTGCCTTTCAGACTAAGTATCCGGGTAATCTTGTCATACCTGCTCCTTAGCTGCTGTTGAATAGCAAGTAACTTCTTTGAGGAATTGACGTTGTTAATTACGCAGGCACTGTCATTGAGTGTGGTCGCCAGAAATGGCTTTCGATGATTTACCATCTCTGCCTGACTACCTGAAAAACCATACCAATTACACGGTACTTTACGTGGACACACCGCTCACCAAGTGGGACGACGCAACATGGATTTTAACTAGTGCCTTCATCATCTTCACTATGCAGTCTGGTTTCGGCCTCTTGGAGTCGGGCAGTGCCTCACAAAAGAATGAGGTAGGTGCTAGACCACATGGCAAGAGCCACGTGGCAATTTTCCCATCAAGTGAACTCAAGTGGAAATTTCAAAATTATGACCAGTAGTGGGTTTCAAAGGTTCTGAAGTCGACTCCAACCCAGTTCTATACTTTTAATCTGCTGAATGCAATATTCCCGAAGCACTAAGCCTGAAATACGACTGTGCTTTGTCTTGTTGAAAATTAGGACTTAAAACTTAATGTTGTTTATTGTAGGCAAAATGTTTTTAGACTGGTAGTCGAGTCTACTTCCTGTTCCAAGATCCTGCATGTCCACCACATGCCATTCAGTCTGATATCACAATGTGAACTACGACAAAAATCCTTTGCCGTTGTTCCCAAAGTTACTATGACCAGTCGTGTGAAAGGACTTGTGACTGGAGTTATGAAGGGACTTGTGACAAATTGGAATTGAATTGCATGTGCTTGTTTGATTCAGAACTGTTAGGGTTAGGTAAGTCGACCTGTGACCGCATCAATCTGAAATTCCACAGATCTATGCCTCAAACGGTGTGTGCTTACGTAACAAGCTCATACGGCTGTATTATGCAGCCTACATAGATACTAGGTTTTATATCGAAGGTTTTGACATTAACGTCTACTCTGTTTTCAGAGCTAAATAGTAGTGCTTTCTTAAAACAGGTAAATATCATGGTGAAGAACGCCGTGGATGTGTTGTTTGGTGGCATATCGTACTGGATGTTTGGATACGGCCTCAGCTTTGGCAAGGACTCCAACAATCCTTTTGTCGGCGTAGGCGATTTCTTCATGGACCGCGACATTACGGACCCTGACTTCGGAGACAACTTTGCCAATTTCTTCTTCCACGCGTCCTTTGCCACCACGGCTACGACCATCGTGAGTGGCGCCATGGCAGAACGGACCAAACTAGAGACCTACATCGTGTTCTCATTCCTCAACACCGTGGTCTACTGCATCCCCGCCAACTGGATATGGGGAGAGCACGGCTGGCTAAAGACTATGGGCGTAGTCGATATCGCTGGTGCGGGGGCGGTGCACATGGTGGGCGGTGTCACTGGACTGGTGGCAACCTTGATTCTTAAACCTCGCACGGGAAGGTTCGTCGAGGGGAACGACGCACCGCAGATGGGATCGGCCACCAACGCAATATTCGGACTCTTCATGCTGTGGTAAGTCGATTTGGTTTTGTGCTTAGGTGTTCAGAAAGTTTCCACAACTTTATTACATTTTTGGTACCGCCAAATTTCAGAAGTCTTGGTGTTGTGTTGCGACCAGCCAAAACAAATAATTATAATTTTGGCACTGAAATCGATTTTTTTTTTGGGGGGGGGAAGAACTAGAATTCAGATAAGGCAGCGTTTAACTTCAGGAATCATCAGCGGCGTAGCCAGGATCCTGAGCACCGGGGAGCGAGCGGCGGGGGGGGGGGACTTCCCGTTAAAAAGGGGGGGGGGGG